ATACGCGTATAAAGGGTTTCGTATGTATTTTTACATCCTTAAAAGTATCAAACATGTAAAATAAATATACCACAGTGTAGAGAATCTTTATACGAGCACGACGGTACCTTGCACGCTCCAATCGGAGCCCGGACGCTCCTCCTGAAGGCGCGGTGCGTGGGCTTCACGCGCCGACGCTTAAGCTGGCCAAAATGGCTAGTCCGATCGGTCTGACCGCCGACCGGTCTGACAGCTGATCGGTTCGACTGGTTGACCGGTTCGATCAACGGGGTCAGGTCCGGGTCGGGTCAATGGGTCGGACCTTGGGTCGGGTTTGTGAGTCGGGTCGGGTAACCGGATCGACCCGGCTTGTGGCAAACCCTAGAGCATGCATTGCACGCGCTGGGGATGCCCGCCTGTGGCCGTGCGTGTGCCGCCGCATCTCAGCGACGCCGCGGCGCGTGGCGGCGCGTGCGGTGGCTCCTGATGGCCCACGACCACTCATTTTTCTCGTCTCGCGACGATCTATCCATCTATGTGATTTATTCTAACATTCAATGGATGAAAAAATCAAAATCACATACGACCAGTACCTAGCTCATTTCTCGACTATGGCGGCTCTGATACCACATGTAGGCCGGCCCGTATGGCTTGGCCGAGCGCCCTAGGATCATCATAGTGAGATATTGACGGTACGGTAAAAGGATGGATAGAATTTGTGTACCTGATTTGGATTCCATCGTCCTGGATGCGAAAATGACGACGAACCGATGCCGTAGATCTTCTCCCCTGTCACCCCCGAAGTCCCGGCGCTATGAGACCACCTCAGCTGGCTCACGGAAACCTTAGGTGAGTTTTGAGAGCGTTTGAGAGAGATTAGAGAGTTGGGTGCAGAGAAGGGATCTCCAGCGCTATTTATAGAATTTCCAATTAGGCCCTCTCATAACGGGTCGGGCCGAACTCGGCCCACACAAGCCGGGCCCATATTCGACCAATTAAGAAATCTTATTAGACCAAACCCGTAAGCAGGTAATAACAATCTCAATTAAAGTAATCCACATTAGAAAAACGTTACATAAACACCACGTCAACTTCGGTTGGCTATCTCCGGGTAGGTAGGTATAGTAGTCTCTCGCGCTTGGGATGATAAGAGGGGAAGTTTCGTCTTCCTGCAGGTCTGTTTGTGCTTCGCACAAGTCTGTCAACCGACTGGTAGACCTGTACCCCGGTTCATGAACTCTATTGTCATGGCCATTGTCTTGAACCTGCATAGATGAGTGGTCCAAAGTATGACCTTAAATTGCTTCATCTTGAGATTTACTCGGACCTTGGAGGCGTCCGGATGTAAAGCAATTAGAGGTTATACCTTCTCTCCTGAAAGATAAAAATGGATAGGGAATTGAGAGGTGCAAAGTGTGCAGATTTCGGCATGTTAAAATAAGGTGTGCATCCGTAGAGCCCGCCAGCCCTCGTTGGTGTGGAGAGGCCAAGAAGAGCTCAAGCTCCCTCTCTTTAATAAGGTTGCACCTTAATCACACCAAGGATTCAAGGAGAGCTATCATTCCAGAAAATTATTTGTGTAACCACTACCCTTATTAAGCTCCTAGGAAATTATTTCTGTTGTTTTACCTATTATTTTTAGCACTTTTTCCATGTATACTGTATTCCATAATTGTCAAATTAGTAGGAAACGTCAATGTAACCACCATTCGTTCGCATTTATCAATGCCATTTTTGAAGAATGTCTTTTGGTGTTTCCATAAATTCTGTGATGAGAAAGATCTTTCTCGATAGACGCATCGACCAGAATCTTATTGGCAGCCCCTTTTTTGGCGTATAGATCTTTAAGAGGTGACCACATGATAAACTTGGTTTACTTCTCTCTGTGTTCTAAACTTTCTTTTATGCTATTTACTCTTAACGATATATATTCTTTAAGATAGAATATGATGATGTATGATTAGAATTCTTTTTAATATGTTCGGATCGTTGAAAAGCACATTATATATTTCGTGCAACCTAAAATATGATCAAATTTTTTGAAAAAACCTGCCAAGCCCAATCTCCCCCGAGCCAAGTGGCAAGTCCAATGTCTCACAAGATAGCCAAATCTCACCCCTTGAGCTTTTGACCCTCGTCAAACCTGATCTCTTTAGTTCCCTCCAAATCCTCACATTAACTTTCCCAGATCTGCTGCTACCTCCACCTTTAGGCCGTAGTCCTTGGCCAGCTTCACTGTGCCGAAGGTGATTCAGACACTGGCGAAGACGAGCCTTGGGTTGCCGAGAATGTCGCGGAGCAACTGAGAAGGTAGGTCAATTTGGTAGACGAAGTAGAGACAGAGTTGTAGGGTGGCAATGGGGCAACGGATGCCGTGTGCAAAGCTTGGGTGCCACTTGACTTCGAAGTCAACTATCTAGGGGTGGTGAGGGGTGGAGACGAGGTGGATGAAGATACCCTAGTGGACGGCGCTGAGGCAGCGAGTGACGAGGGCAGACACACCACTGTTCTAGATAACGACCTTGAAGGATTTGATGAACTTGTAAGAGCATTTAGGTTCTTTGATGGTGATAGCTACGTAACTTATTAACTTTTTCTTTTCATCCTCAATCGTCGGAACACGATTGACTGTCCAGCGATGATGATTGGTAGTGGTTGGAGGCGACGGCAATCGCAGGGTGGTCGAAAGTGACAATGAGCGGCCGTTATGGTGTCGGTCCTCACGCGGTGGCTGTCGTACCCCATCACTTCATTGCTAGAAGATAACAAGATTTGCAAAGTTATCTTTTCAATTGTTTTGTTCAATCCCATTTTATCCCACCCATATCCCAGATTTCTTATTTGGCATTTTATCTAGATATAATCGGGTTTATCTGGTTTAGAAGACGTCCCCAAACACTGGATATCCGGACTCAAATCCGGACTACCAATCGTAGCTAAGTTAGGGTCATTGGGATTATCCAACCATTGCCAAGGATATTCTTCGGTAAGTAGACTCTTCATTTTCAGGGTTATAGAAGTTATTGAGCTCTCATTTCTATTTCGCTGTCAAGTCTAACATAAACATCCAATTCCTGAGTTGAAGAAGGTCGCATAGTTTGAATTGCCAAAGACCATTCTCGTTCTGGCCTTCGAGGATGCTGGAATATGTAGTGTCAAAGCAGCGAGTACTTCATTTCACGATGCACTTTCCAGTCGCATATTAAGTACATTCACATCAGACAAGCGAAGCTTGCACAGTCCAAATTAACAGCACAGTTTTGGAGATAACAATATCGGAGCATCAAAGGGCTTACCTACTTCCACCATATGAACCACCAAAAAGAACAGCAGATAAGTTTCGCTTCAAGTTTGTGATCAACACCGCGAGATCAGCACGCACATGCACCGCAGTAAGATAAGACAAGGTAGCGACATCATTGTATGAGGTAAGAAGTGCATTAGGGTTTTCGTAAGTTGCTAAATTATACGAGTGACGTAAGATGCGTTTGCTTTCTTGTAACTAGTGTTAATTGTCGTTAGTAGCTATAGACACTTGAATTGTAGTTCGTACAAAGGATCGTCAATTAATCAGTACACATCAGTTGTTCAACTCTACTTTGAGTTGTATTTATATTTTGATTCCTTTTTACAAGTTGGACGCGGTCATCTCCGGTCTTCATGCTTCTAATTGTCTTGTTGATTACGTTTTTTATCCAAGAATCTTTATATTCAAGAATCAATAAAGGACCCTCATAGCCTTTGTTAAAAGGTTCATCGATTTATATTTCAAAAGGTATTTCGTCAATACATTTTTGGCAAAAGATAAACTATTCTTTTAGTAGGTGCGAATTCAAACATGATCGAGAAAATATATTTCTCTCAATGATGATGCAAAAAATGATTTTTCTAAAAAATGTCATTTGGCAATTTTACACTTTTTTATGGTACTTCTTCCAAATCGAGATAAATTAACTCAGAAAAAAATAATATCACAAATTAGCCTCATCGTTATGGCCGTCAATGGTTTGGCTTAGTTCGGTACCCGAATCGAACCGAAACTTTGGGGTTTCCGTTCGCTACGACCCGATCCAAAACCCAAACCGCATCTGGCTTGAATCGAAAATACGGTTCGATTCGATTTTTTTTTTTTCGGGGTGGGGGGCACGCTTCCTCTTTCCGTCCACCTCTTTTTTTCTTCCCTTCAATCAGAACATCCCTCGCTTTGTCAATTCATCAAATACCTATCACTCCCTCCCTCCCTGTTGATCAACCCAGAAGGAATCAAATTTGCTCTCCCATTGGTGCCACCGCCGCCAATACCTCTACCTCTTCCTCGGCCATGTTCGTTGCCGTCGACCTCGCGGGCCACGGCGTCGTCTTCCACGGATACTGCCCCGAGGTCGGGCGGTTGGTGAAATCGAGAGGTAGAGAGAGCAAATCTGGGAGCTACTGCCCCAGAATGGACAAAGTTGTTGAGGGTTTCGTTACTGCGGTTCGGGTTGGTGCGGGTATTGTACCCGAACCGAATCGAATTGCCAAGGCAACCATTCTTTTGAACCGAACCTAAAAATACCCGAAATTTTCGGCTCAAGTAATATCGACACCCCTTCGTCGTGGCCCGGCTGTTGCTGAACGTGAAATTCAAGAAAAATTTCTTGTGGGAATTACGCATTAAATAGACGAGCAAAATTCAAAAACAAGTGCCGAACTTTCGTCTTCTTACTTTCTTACTATATAGTCGGCACGGCACGTAATTTAATCAACACCTAATTTTTGGAAATCATCATCAACCAACTGGATGGATCATGCACATATATATATTTATATATATATAATCCTCAAAAAACGACATTACAATTGCGAGCTTGAGCGTGAGACACATTCCCCCTCCTCTTCGCCACGCTTCTATCTATCAGCCCAACACGACACGGGCTCTTCTTCTTCGTGGGCGGAAAAGTCCACAGAGATATAAGCCCACGATCCACGGCGCACGACCAAGCTCTTGCCTCTGGATTTCGCTCGCGTGCGATCCTCGTTCCTTTGTCCCCATCTCCCTCTATCTCTGTGCTTGTATAGGGAGAGATCAGACAGGAACGGAACTGTCCCGTGTCACACCGATCACGTCCTTCACGAACCTCTGAGCGCCACGAACCTTCTTGATACCAAAAGGGAGTGCTCCAAACACAGCGACAGCCGAGGTCAGTGTTCCTGTTTGGAATCCGGTTTCTTCCCATCTCTCCCTTCGCTCCCCCCGTCCTCCTCCTCCTCCTCCTCTTCTTCTTTCGACCGCGGGATCGGTCGGGGACGCCGCATCGGCGATCCGGGTCGCCGGCGATCCGGGATCTAGCGCGTTCCCGGATCAAGAATCGCGGGAGAACGAGCGAATTTCTGATATTGGGTTTGTGGGTTTCGCAGGCAGGCCGTCGAATTGCTGGCAGCTTTGCTGATATTGGGTTTGGATTCCCGATGGACCAGGCGGAGTTAACCACCGAGCAGGTTCGTGTTCTACTCCCCGAAACATTCTTCGTTTGTTACGCTCATTCTGTCCATACCAAAAAGGTGGATAATTTACAATGGTATCACGCTCTTGTCACACAATGGAATGGTCGAGGCTGCATCTGGTTGTTGATATAAGCGTAAGGGAATCGGCCAACTTGCATAATGGGTTGTTCTGGTTCTCGTGGGAAGCTTGAAAAAAATGATGCCCCAATTGAATCGTACTGATGAATTCCTTCCTTTATCACTTAAGGTGTTGAAAAGGGACATCCCATGGGAGACATACATGACGACGAAGCTGATTACGGGGACGTGCCTTCAGCTGTTAAGGCGTTATGACAAAAGAGCGGAAAGCTATCGTGCTCAGCTACTCGACGATGTAACGCTCGACTGCCCTCCTTCCCGCCTTCGTTCATGAGTCTTTGGGCTGAATCTCATGCATATGCGCAATCTTGAGACAATGTGAGCGGATGTTTTGATAGGATATGATTCTTATACTATCTCCCAACTTCCTTTTTCAGGATGGACCGGCTTATGCACGGGTATTTGTTAACATATTGCGCGACATTTTCAAGGAAGAAACAGTAGAATATGTTCTAGCTCTAATTGATGAGATGCTCACAGGTGCTTAAATGACTTTCAGCATCATCAGCTTTCTATTGATCATGAGAAGTTGACTTGTCTTTTACCCTCATGTGCAGCAAACCCAAAAAGAGCCAGACTATTCCATGACGAGTCTCTTGCGAATGAAGATACTTATGAACCTTTCCTGAGTTGAGTATTTAATGAGAAATTGGGACTCGTTATTGCATTTGTCATAGTCTCGCATTTCTCATGTTATGTCGTACTTCCTTCTGTTCTCTCATGGTGAAACTTCTAAGGATAAGGGCTTTTCTTCAACTCATTGTCATGTTAATGTCGGGGTTGGACATGGTTTGTGGCATTGAATTTGTGTAAACATTAATGTTAATATATCTCCTTGGGTTTGCTAATACTCCTGATCTGAGCAATTTCATACCTCTTTGAATTTGGTTTATATTTTTTGTATAGTCCAAGAGCTTATGGTACAGTTGGTTGTGCACCATTGTCTTCTCTTGGAAAAGCACAGTAAATCTTGAAGAATAGTATTCAACTTTTACTGATAAGAACAACAAATAGCTAAAATTACTAGAACTTATCTAGCACAGGTTTTTGGAAGAGTTTGGCTATTGTAAGGGCTGCTGGTCTAACTTTGATCCCAGTATAATTGCTCAATTTGGTTCCTGTACCTATTCATCTTGGTTGATGCTTCTTCTTGTTGTCATTCCTTTGACACCAATCATATAAAGAATGGGCATTTCTTCATCTAAAGTTGTAGGTGATTTGGCTGTCCTGCTGAATGAGAATCATAGCCTAGATGCTTCCAGAAGTCACAGTCAAATTTTGGATTTTGGTTTCCTCATTTAAGGGTTCATGAATGCCCTAAAATGGTAGCCATACTTTTAGGTTTTAAGTCAATGAAGTCCATTGATATAGGGTCTACCATAGTACCGCATTTAAATTGTTCTCTCTGATAGGATTCTATTTGGCAGTTATTTATAAGCAAGTAGTGTTGATGGGAAATGTCATTGGAAATTGTAATGATCAAGCAACCATCATCTATGAAGGGAACAAGAAAATGACCAACCAGCTATTAAATTACATGCTAAAATTCAATGTCCTTGCTCTCCTAAAAGTTCATGTCATCAAATGATAAAACTTGATTGTTTCCAATTTGGCAAGATATTGGTTTCTGGAATCCAAGTTTCTTATTTGTTGATTGATTCTTCAGATTGCTCTGGAAAGGGAACTGGTTCATACAAGAGAAGTGTTGTAAGATACTCTCTCTGATAGTGAGGTACCTATTTAATTTTGCTCCACTGACATTGAAGATATCGGGAAAAAGAGACTTTTTAGTAATTTACTTTGTATGAACTACTTATGTGGATGTCAAATCTGTGTATGTTGTTGCAGTGCCAGGCCAAAAACAAGTGATAGTTCAAAAAGAGGATTCACCACCATAGATGATGTGCTGAAAGGACTTGTAGATTGGCTATGTGCACAGGTTCGTTTTCGAATCAATAAGTAACTAGCCTGTTGTTATTCTTTGAGGATGGATCATTAACGGGGGCTATTGATGTTTGGAACGCGTTTTCTCTTCATCAAAGACTCTGTTGATACTGTTTAGTGCTGCTAATTTGGCTGCTGAAAGTATAGAATATGGAGACAATCGGAAGTAGGCTTGGTAGCCCACTCCCATGGAAGGGTTAGTGGTTTGAGCATCAAGATTGTATTGGTTGAAAATGTTGACCTGATTCTGTTCGTGACTGTGGTTTTTATCATTTAAAGATTTTGTTATCTTTCACAAACATGGCATTGATGCTGAACTGGCTTTACAGCTTAAGAAACCTTCCCACCCTACTCGGGGCATTCCTACTGCAATTAACTGCCTTGCAACATTGCTTAAGGAACCTCTGGTCAGATCATCTTTTGTTCAAGCAGATGGCGTTAAACTGTTGGTTCCTTTCATATCCCCAGCATCTACACAGCAATCGATCCAGGTACGACTATTTTCAACAGAACTCTTGATATTGAAAATACTCTAGTGTTCTGGTTTTGACCTCATCAGTGAAATTATATTGGTGCTTTAGCACATTCTTGACAATCTCTTTTTGGCAGCTTCTTTATGAGACTTGTCTGTGTATATGGCTATTATCATATTATGAACCTGCCATAGAGTACTTGGCAACATCCAGGACACTTCCGCGACTTATTGATGTTGTTAAATGTTCCACAAAAGAGAAGGTGTGTGGTCTGTTCTGCACTTCGTTTCTCTCTGTCTTTTTTTTTTGAGTTTAATGGATTCCCATACCTCCCTCCCTCTCAAGCACATTAACCATTGAACTCAATTCTTTCTACATTGTTGATGTTGAAGGTCCCTTTGCCCCTGAGCAAGTTTGCTTTCCTTTTTTTTTTCTGCTTCCAATAATGTTTCTCTAGATGATCGAGAGACTACATTGGCTGCATATGTCTAACATTGTTAAGTTTTTGGTAGGTCGTCAGGGTTGTCATTTTGACATTTAGGAATTTGCTGCCCAAAGGGACATTTGGTGCCCAGATGGTAGACCTTGGACTACCTCAGATTGTTCAAAGCTTAAAATCCCAGGCATGGAGTGATGAGGTGAGAGACTTATATACTCCTTTTCCACTTTGAATGAGACAGACTTGTTAAGTTTATATACTTGAATGGGCGAAAGTTGAGATATATCGTGGCTTCCAATTATTTGTCCAGTAAGTCACAATTTTTCATTGGCCTTCTGTCTGCTAGAGAAATTTGTCTGGAAATTCTCGACCCTTGCATCCTTGTTGGTCTAAAATGGTGCAGTCCAGGAAATTAGTGCCTGGATTCTGATGTGAATGTTGATGACAGTTTGTGAATATGAGTCTAAATCTGGCCCTAACTTTGTTTAGTTTTATCATTCGATCAATGTTAATACCCCAAGGATGTACATTCAGATTAACAAATGAATTCACTTGCTCACCAAAGAGAAAAGATTATAAGTTCTCCTAGCTACATTCTTTTTCCACCGGTCTTGGGAAGGCAATCTGTGCAATCAGATAGTTTTAATGGTGCTAACTCATATCATTTGTAAAATAATCCACGCGAAAATAGCTGAATTTACATGGAAAAAGAAGTAGCTTCTCAACGTGATATGTCAAGTTTGCACTTCTCTTAGAATTTTCTCCGATTCCTCTACTGTTGGGCCGACACATCATATCCAAAATTACTGCCACTGCTCTCGAGCTCTATCTAGCGCATATTCATGTGATTCTTGTTTATTTGTAATTGAGTACATTCACCTTATTAGTTATTGCTTCCCGCAATCACTTTGGCCACATCTTGGTTTCTTTTTTGCTTTTTTTTTTTATGCTTTAGTAGTTGTACGATTTGTGATATTGACTCTAAATATTGTAGTTTCCAGTTGATTGGTCTCTAATGTAGACTTTATGGATTGTGAAATATTAAGCCCGAGAGCATTCAAAATTTTATTTGCAATATATATGTGATGGTGGATGTGGGTCTAGAGCTTGTGATCGGTAAGTATTTATCCACCATGTACATGTGTCTGTATTACTGGGTACTTAGGGAAAAGGACACTAGGAGTGCCTTATGACGCTCATTTTAGTGCCAAAACTTTTTGTCAGATCACTTCATTGCCACATCGGAGAGAAACGATCGCTTAAGTGCCTCCGGCGACAAATTCCGGCAAAAAGTCCTATGTGGTTTTTGTAATCAGAGGTTAATCCATACGTGTCTTTTTTATTAAAAAAATGTCCAACGTGGACGTCGAGGTGGCTCTTCATGAGAAAATGATGCCGCACCCTTCAGATTTAGCTTTCTCACGCTCCAACCCTTCTTCTTTTCCACGATTTGGACAAAACTAGAGAATGGAGCCATCGGGATTTTGGGGAAGGATATGGATTTTCGTCTTCTTGATGTTGGTTCTTCATTCGGTCATGGAGGGATCAGTCAAATTTTTTAGAGATTTCCTTTCCGTTTGCTGAACTCATCTTCCATTTCATCTTCGCCATCAAACCATCTTCTGAATGTCGGCTCCTTCACCTTCATCTTCCACTCCTGGATTCTCGGTTTTCCCTTTCTGTTGATGGCCAGCAACTCTGTCCAGATTCTTCCTCCATCAACTGAGCTCATCTCCTCCACTTTTACATTCTGACCTTCATCTTCGGCTGCTGAACTTTCTGAGCGGCTCATTTTCATTAGCTTTGTTGACACGAACTTGAGCCACTTGTGCTTTTTCTCCTCTTTATGGTAAGATTCAGCTCTTAATTTTGCTCTAATACCGTTGGTATGGTTTAGGGTTTGAAGAAGAGGGCAAAATTGAGCTGATTTGTCAACAATTCTGTTGAATTTGGGGCTCTTCATGGTAGCAATGTTGTTTTAGGGCTTTTTCACTGAATTTCGCCTCGTCGGATTTTCGGCAAGCCACGTCGGTCGGAAATAATGTCAAAATATTGCCGTGTTGGATTTCTGGTATTCCAAACTGGAGTTGGTACTTAAGTGATTATTTTTTTTTACGAAAGTGGCACTGTAGTGATTTGACGAAAAGTTTTGGCACTAAAGTGAGCGCCATACGAAAGTTATGGCACTTATAGTATTCTTTTCCTGGGTACTTTTTTTTTAGATGGGTACTTATATAGTTGATAATTAATGGGACATGGAATCTTGTATATCTGTGAAGAGTGCTTTTTTTCAGACATTTATTGTAGCCAGCCTGTGATGAAAATTAGCGTGGAGCAATATCCAAAATTATGATGCAAAGAACTCTCAAATGAATGTTTTCACTTCTTGCACTGGGCTTCTGTTTATTGGTGAATCATATCTATCCATCATGTGGCACAGCTAGTGCATAGTTATGGTCTCATATGATGTAAGGCTTTTTATTCTACCCTAACTGGATGCTGAAACCTTTTCAGGATCTACTGGAGGCTCTAAATGAGTTGGAAGAAGGATTGAGAGATAACATTAAGAAGCTGAGTTCTTTTGATAAGTACAAACAAGAAGTCCTTCTTGGCCAGCTTGACTGGTCTCCTATGCACAAAGATCCCATCTTTTGGCGTGAGAACATCACAGGCTTTGAAGAGAGTGATTTCCAGGTTTACTTTCTAACATCCTTGGAGATACTTTTGACGGTACATTGATATGCACATACAATACAAGTACGTGAACTTGGCTGACATGATAGCCTTGGGAGTATTAACTTTTAAGTTTTTGGGTTGGCTGGATTTGTGGAATAGCTGATATTTTTATATCAGTCTTTGTTCTTGTGGTTATGTCTGTTGACAATTGTTACAAAACAAGTGAAACTTTGGCTCCATTTGTTTCGCGGAAAATGAATGATTTAGAAAACATTTTCCTTTTGTATCGCTTACAAAATTGAATAAATGAAAAATATTTTCATCGTGCATGAAAATGGTTGGATATAAATTATCGTCAATAGTGAAAACATATTTCCATTGACTAATTATTTCAAGCGATACAAGCGATAATTTTTTGAAAATGTTTTCCAAATCATTTATTTTCCATGAAACAAAGGGATCCTTTGTGCGGAAATGGCCATCTATCTTTTATCTTCTGTCATTTTCGTTGTGCATTATAATACATTGAAAGACTGTTTGATTATTTTCCACAGATTTTGAGGGTCCTTGTGACAATTTTGGACTCCTCAAGTGATGCAAGGGCTTTGGCTGTCGCTTGCTTCGACCTTTCGCAGTTCATCCAATACCACCCGGCCGGAAGAATAATATTGTCTGATTTGAAGGCAAAGGACCGGGTCATGAAGCTTCTGAATCACGATAATGCAGAGGTCACAAAAAATGCCCTTCTGTGTAGCCAAAGGCTTTTCTTAGGTGCCAAGTACGCAAGCTTTTTACAGGCCTAAGCGAATCCCAAGCAGGCGATCTTGCAGGAGTACTTGACTGCTTGTGCTTTCTTGTTTATTGGATGTTATCGTCGAGATGATCGATGTATTGTTTAGTTATTTGAATGCCTGGGTCTCTATTTTGGCTGGGATAACATATGTAAACTTTGAGAGCTGTTCATTTTATCGGACCTGGAGCGTGTGGTGAATAAGTGGTTGTCTTTGAAGTATTTCTTGCCCTTTATGCTTAATAATTGTGAAGTTACCAACCAAGGTCCAACGGAGCAGAAGGTATGAGAACGACAACTGCCCCCTGTTTAAATTTGTTATGTTGGACATGGTCTGGCTTAATCTTTTTGTATAGGATAATCTATATCGACGAAGCTCATCTAGGGGAAGGTCAAGCGTTGTTTAAATTATCGGAAAATGGTGAATGATCTTGGGATATGAGATCAATATGACTAGCCCGTGGACATGTTTTTTCTTTTCCTCCAGTATTTGCCAGTGATGTGAAGTTTTCAGCTCGGAAGGTTCATCTCGTTGCATTTCGCCCTTGAACCTTTGCTGCTATTACGACAACGGTTTGTAGAGGGATTTGTAGCAAGGTGATCGCTTGCTCGAGATGCTGCATTTTGGCTCTGTGCATTGCACATAGATGCGGAGTGAAAGGGGCGCGAGAAAGATTGATCACTTCTGTGTCTCACCAAGCCAGGATGATCCATGGGAATGTCCATATGAAGTTAGTATAAAAATTTCGATCGGTAACGGTTTATTGTAATTATTGGTAGATTGGAAGCCCTTCAGGAATGCAAATACTTGGGCTCTTTCAGAATCAAAACTTGAAGGATTTACAAACTGAACTTCCAACTCTCATGGAGGTGATGAAATCATCGCTACATGCTTCGCAAATCCGGGCATAACCAATGGCATTAGAGAGAGGACTTCGACTAATTTTTAGCGCTAGTTTTCTTTCATTTGGAAAAATATCAGTTCATATGTTCGGATGAATGGCATCTGATCTTCGACGGTTTATATGTTTAATCAATGTACTTCAACAATTCTTGGGAATTATGTCATAATCTTGGCACAGAGGATATTAAAGTAGATTTTTGGAAAATTTTCATTTAATTCAATAGCTCAATGGTGATTATACTATCAAAGGGTGTTGTTTCTTTGTCAAAACACTGACCAATAGGTATATTTTCAAATGAGGACTGTGACCATTGAATTCTGTAAACCGCTTTAGTGATTACTTAGTATTGCCACAGTTTTGAGAGTTCGTCTAGTGTAAGTATGGCCAAACTGTAACTACGCTGTGAAATGCTGTAACTTACGTGTCTAGTAATATGTATTTCGATACTGCAACACTAAAAAGTTAGGTGGATCAACTCGTTAAAAGTTGTTGTAGCTGTAAGTCGCTTCTCAAACACCTTATAAAAGCCGCAATGCCCCGTTTCAAAGTTGAACTGCTGCTGGAAAACTGTATCAAGCAACCGCTAAGTGACCTTTTTTCTCAGTTAAAGATTTGATATCATACAAATTGCCTCTTTCTCTAATATCTTATAATGATTAAAGCAAGCAGATACATTGAATCTCAATCACAAGTAACGAAGAATCATTGAGGTTCGCTACTTTCTCACGGGCTCTATTTTAGTTACCAAAAGTTACTTAGAAAGAGGGTTAAATTGGGTTGATCTTAAGGCAAGGCAGCCCTAGAAATTTTCTGAGAAAAAGACCAAATCATCACTCAAGTGTTTTCTCTCTAGTTTCCGCAACTGAGCAATCTCAGGGATGCACCGCCCCACTTCGAAAGCAAAGGAAGAAAACAAATCGACAAAAAGAGACCATGAAACCACACCTCAAAAAGTCACCTGGTTAGAGGAGTGACATGTCTCAGCCATCGTACCTAGAAATTTGCTTTGTCGGGCTTCTGCTTGGATAAATGACGATAAGTGTGTGGGGACAAAAGATTTTTGTTAGGTCCTGAGAATTTCTAGGACAAACTACTCGACTTTTGAGCATATGGTTAAGCAGTTACCAGGCTCCACGATTGGAACTTTTGAGCTGGTAAGAGATGATATTGGCTAGCATGTTTGAGAATTCTACCAACATGAAAAGTAACTTTCACGAAAATTCGATGTCCTGGTGTTGTTTTGCGTGCGGGCCTTGCTCTCTAACTTGATGTCTACTTTTTGAGACTTTGATCTTTTGTAAAACTTTCTATTTACACGGACTTGTCTGGATGAATGTCGCGTATTTTTCAAAAGTTATTTGTCACATTAAGACATTTCTTTCTTTTTACACAAACCGTTTCTACCTTTTTGTATTCAATTTAGTTGAATGTGTAGGATTCGATTCATCCACATAGGAAAAATTTAGATGGTCTCACTCTTACCAAGAGAGGTAGTGACTTCTCAATCTATTTTGATACTAAGCGCAATCCTAATTTCTATCCCACTTTATGCTGTGGTCAACCGTACCCTATTGTAGCCATGAAGTTGCCTTGTCATCACATCCTGGCGACTCTCTTTTTCTCTCTCTCTCTCATATGAGAATACCATATTTGTCTCCATTTACGTTAGAATCCGAACCTTTTAACTCAACTAATCCTTGGCAGTACATTACAAGCCACTTTATCTACGTACATCATGTTAGGCTCCACACACAGGTTAATTGGTTTGTGTGAGTTGTGACCCCTATAAACGGGTTAATTGGTTAAATTACGCACATGTTACAAGCTGGATCATAATAAATGTATTATAGTCAGACCACCATTAGTAGATGTGTGGTTTGAAGGTAGAAAGGGTCCTTAGTGATAGGAGTAGACACCAACGAGGACATCGGTGCTTTAAGTGAAGGAATTTGTGACATCCCAAATTGCCATTTAGAATTAGAGAGCGGCCCTTTGAAGCGATTCATAAATAAGTCTCGGTTTAAATAGTCACCACCTTGAGTAATCGCAAACTGAGTAGTCCTGGGCCTGACTTGTTATAGGTGCAGAATAAGGACGACCCCAAGCTAAATTTGACTCTTTACGGGGCAAATAATCACGGCGATCTACTAAATACGACAGCCACTTCAATTGCTGCTTCAAATTTGCATTGATCTTTAGTTATTCTCCAACTTTCTCTGTTAGCTTATTGAAAATTAAGCAAATTTTGTGAGAATGATAATTATTAATAACTAATTATTACTAAACAGCAACCTCTTAAACCAGCTCTTGATAGAAACCTCAAACTATGATATTCCACGATTTAATGTCTTATAACTAGTTGGCCCGAAAAAAGGAAGTCCCGTCACTCCACTTCACTTCTGGGGTTGTATTACACCCAGCTGGTGAGAATGATGCATATAGTCATATATTATCAAAAAAAATAAAATAAAAAAAATAACGGTAAGCCAACAGTTATAACAAAATGAAAATTCATGATTTTGGAGTTGGGATGCCTCAGGAATATTTGGGATGCCTTGAGAGGCACGAGAGAAGATACACGGTGCTCCCTCAGAGTTTTAATGAATTCCAGCCATTGTTCAAAACCCGATTTTCTCAAATCAACAGTTGAAATGAATGATGTCACCAAGAGGATCATCAAATGGAATAGAGGACACCTACCTCCCACATAGTCAACAAGTCGAAAACTATCGACAGATTGTTAGTTGCTAAACAACTAGTCCTCTAAACCTTGAAAGAACTTCACATTGAATAATACTTGCAATATACTTCAACCACAGTATAATTATGTAAGTTTCTAGCTAAGATCTGCTAGATATAGCGGATCTTCAAGATACACCCTTGATGGTAGAGATACAAAATGTGTTAGGTTTCAAGTATGTTACCGATCTTACGTTGCTTTAATATGGATTGTTAACAGTAGGTAAGTCTTCCGCAATCTTAAACTAGCACAACATATTTTAAAGTTGTCCAAGCACGGCTAAGTCGTAGCCAAAGCAGACAATATCGTGCTAGCGCTAAGGTGGTTCCGGCTGCCTTTTAGTGGTATTAGAGCCACATGGTGGAGATTTTGGATTTCAAATACGTCTCTCATCCCATATCTCCGAACTATAGTTGTTGTGCTGATTGATAAATCTTGTAACCTTAAACTAGCACAATGTTTTAAAGCCTTGTAGGCGCTGATGAGCCGTGACCAAGGCGGACAATTCTCATATTACCGCTTGGATGGGGGCTGCATACGAAGAGTTTGTAATAAAGCTTGTCTACAAGGAGATGTGCTAAAGATCGCTTTGCTAACACCTAAACAACCAAGTTAGTTATACAGCAATCCTTTACTTTTCTTTTCTGGAGATGTGGTCCTAAGCCTTCCCATCATTAGACCGATGAAATAAGAGTCTTATGCATCCCAAAGACCGAGATGCACCAAAAGCAACGCTTCAAGAGCAGCAAAATTAATTACTTGAAATTGATGTTTACATGCTATTGGAGAGTTGATGCTAATGCACTTCAAGACATTTAATTTATAAAGTTTCATGCATCTACGGTTGAAATGCATTAAGAACCTAAATGTCTTGTTCCTTGAAATTTAAAATCCCCTCAAAATTTCGAGATGGGCCTTCAGTTATTTGGGTCTTCAAAGCGGGATATCCTTGCCTAAACTTAGAGTCCATGGGCTGAGTGTGATAATGGTCGTTGACCTTGTGAACACCCCTATGTAGGCTCATAAGGGACCTACACAGTCAATAGTTATGGTTGATTTGGTCTAGTGGATTTGAGTCCAAGCAAGAAATTGCCCCTCAAATTAGAAAGATTAAGTGGAAGTCCTTTCATTAAGTAATCAAACTTTCTAAAATTATAATTTATTTAGGAAGAACAGCTATTGAAAAAGACAAAAAAAGAGAGCTGGTAAACACCTGGGGACACAAAGGAAGCAGCAGTCATGTTCTCTGTGACCATCCTTTTCCTCCTCAACCTCAACCCCACCAAAAGCAATCGCATACTCCCCGCAGGTGCACAGGTTTCTCCAAGCTCCATCAATGGCGATCCATTTCATTTTCTAGTCATTACTGCAACATCCTTCACACACTCTCCAAAAACATATGCAGGGTGTCTATGTTTCCCCCCTATTACGTTCACGCCCATGATTTCATGTGACTCCCACATGCCACTCCATACCCCAAATCGTTCATTCAGGCCTTTGACTGCAGAAACTCTCTCATTTTTGGCTTATATAATGTCGGATTCTCAATGCCGATTGCAAGAAACATGTTGACTTCG